TGATTTTTGATTAAATAAAGCTAAAACTTGATTTTCAGAAATTTAAAACTAAACAACTGGTTTTATGTAATTATCCCCATATTAAATAGAGTACGAGAGTTATTGTTCCTTTACTGTCTCTGTCCAAAGTTATTGAATTGAATCCTAATTTCCTATACTCAGTTGATTGGAGTAGTATTAGTTCTGAATTAAGAGTTGAATATTTATTGACGCTCCTCTCTTCTTTTGCTTTTTATAATATCGTAATATTTAGTTATTTTATTAGTCAAAGAAGAAAAAATTTATAGACCCTCTTATCGTTGACCTGAGTAATTTTCTCGTTGGATTTTGCTATTTACACTGAGGTTACGCTCTCCTCACAATAGGGGGCTCACATCAAATAAAAAAATTTTGTAGGCTACCTTATCGTGAGGAGGGATGTACACATAGCACATAAAACTAGCCAGTAATGTTTAACGAATATGATTAAAATAAAAATTTACTTAAATAACTTTTTTGTAGCCAAACACAAAACCAGCACGTGATATTAGTGCACGTGCAAACATGTTCTACTGTTGACCCGAAATTGAGATCAAAGAATGAATCTTATGTCTTAGGACTCCAAAAATGGGTTTCCAATTTCCAGCTATTGCCTTGTAACACTGTTGAATTTGACCAACCCAATAATTCATGATAAACTAGTATGAGAAGACAAATAGTTTCCCACCCAGTTCGAACCATTAGTGAGAGGTAATTCTGAAAAAACTAGAATTCGTACGTATTTTTAGGAGAACAAACAACGATTGTCTAGTAATCAAACAACTAGCACAACAACCTTACTATACGACACTTTCCAATGATTTTCCCCTCTTTTTCATTTTCAATATATTGCTCACTCTACACCAATTCTGATATACGGTTTCTAGGGTTGAGAAATTCGTAATTTATAGCGACACTTCTAAAAAGGGGTTAGGCGGTTTAATGTTGCATGAAAGAGTAAGAGACGAATTATTCATCTTATGATTGTTCACACCTTAAAACAATTTTCGAGAAGTCAATATTTTACTCAATTTGACTTGTTGTCGCATATACATACATATGGCCTTGTCTGATTTTTTTTTTTTTTCAAAATATATTTTTCCCTCTTATTTTCGGTCATACGTTCTAAAATAAAATAATATTACATACAACTCAAATATTTTTCCTTAATTCTTAACTACACATTTAATATTTTAAAACACATTCTATACAAAAAGGGGTTCAAACAGGCCCACAGTATGCCGGTAGAGCTCATGTGATAAGGCCGAGTGCTCTACCGTGTTTTAGAATATTAAAGAAGAAATATGTTAAAGGGAAAAGTTTATGGCTTAGGTGTTTAGTTTGTCATTTTAAAAAATCAGGTGCTAAACTTTAAAATTGTAAAAATCAAGTTTCTACTTTTTATTAATTAATTAAATATTTAATTGTGTAATCTGATAGCGTATATCTTATTAATTAGTTAAAAATTAATTTCAGGTCACAATTTATCAAATTAATTGGTCTTGGATTATTTCGAGGTCACAGATGAAAAAAATCTATAGGCCACAGTTAATTTCGTTGGTCACAAATTAAAAATTTTAAGGTCACAGGTAATTTTTCATAGGTCACAGATTAAAAAATTCAAAACTTTTACGG